CACTGTTCGATACAACCATATATATATATATATATATATATATATATATATATATATATATATATATATATACTTTAATATTTTTTTGTTTAAAATATGATTCCTTCGCTACATAAGAGTTCTCATGTTTCAAAAACGAACCTAAACTTTCGCTTCAAGATGAAACGGGACTAAAGACCTCAATTCAAATTAATTTTAATAATTATTTGGATGGTTTCGGCTCTCGTCACTCCTCCTTCCCCAATACAAAGTATACTTGAGAGAGATATGAAATTAATCCCTCCCTATACTCTAACATGTCTCTTTAACTACTCCTTTTACACTCTCTGTTAAATTACAAAACTTACACTACCCATCAATTTTAATTTCATTTTTCGTTTTATTTCATTTTTGGAAGTGCTATCTGATGATCCGGCCTCCTTTAAAAGGACTCTGGTGAAATAAATTATTATAATGGTACCTTAAAGTGGTCTGTTTTTTTTTAAATTTATATATATATATATATATATATATATATATATATATATATATATATATATATATATATATATATATCATGTGGGTGTTATTAATATGAGAGTAATGGTTAAACTTTCTCGTAAAATATATCAGAAGAGCAGTAGTCTGGTAAAATAGTGTTTGGCATTAAAGTGCTTGCGAACCATTGAATTTCTACATGGTGAAAAGAAGTGCACCAATTTATATTAATCGTTTCCTGTTAAATATTTACGGTTACCCAACACTGGATGTGAGCATATTTACCTGGTGGGCAATGCGTTTCGACTGTGTTAATAGCGAAGTGTGTCACAGGCTACTTTCTGAACTGAGCCTTAAGGCATTACTTTCGGAACGCAGGCGCCTCGTTGTGGTGTAATGGTTAGCAAGCTTGCGCGCTAGATCAGATACGGCTAAAAAGTGAGTTCGATCCTCACTAGAAGCCCCATATTTTCGGCCTTGTTTCACACCTAAGCTACTCTTACAAAACAATCATTACTTTCGGAACCTGTCACGTGTTTGTGCCTGTCTAGGTATTACGTTAATTGTATTTATTTTGATATGGAACATCTGTAACATCTTGCTGTACTAAGGTTATCTCCCATTTATTGTCGACGCCGGGTGGCGCTATGGTAAATGCCGAAATGATTTTAGTCATTTATAAAGGCGTTGGGGGAAAAATCCGACTCCACGAAGGAGCTGATTAGAACAATTATGATTTGAAAAAAAATATTTAAAAATTCATATATGAAGAACTAATAATAGAAAAAGCTTTAGAAATATACCAATATTCTTGTCAGTACGAATAAAATAGAATATGTGAGAGAAAAGACAAGTGTAACATTTTATTTCTTGACGTTCTTTATCAAGCAAAATGTTGAAATCTTTTTTGGCAACCTGTATTTATTAAACACAGAAGTAAATGGAGAAAAAATATCGTTACTTTTTCAAATTTCGAATTGGAGAACGCTTTAAAATATTCTAAAACTATGGAGGACCGTAAGTGGCATAATTTCTAAGCCTATTAAACGTAAATTAAATTAATGTTTTTGTTGGTGTCATTGTTATTTTAATATGAAGAAATTATTTATTTATTTCTATGTATTTATTTTACCTTTTTTTTTTATTAATTTGTAATTTTTAATTTGTAAAGGTTATTAGTTTACCGTTTTTCTTATAGTTTTGTAAATTGGTTCGAGAAGGATGTTTTTCTTTTAAGAAAGGATATACTATATCTAGTCCCTAAGTTAATATTTTGGTGAATACCGATTATGACACACAACGTTACTTTTGCGGATAAATACTGGTTACCATATGAAATTTCCGCACATGCCATGATAAAGTTCCTCAAGGAACGAAACGCGTTGGCGTAAAAGGTTTTCCCCTTTTATCTTGTCTTTTAGCTGTAATGTCTTTATAAATATATTTTATGCAAATTCAATCAAACCGGTTTCATCAACTGAGAAAGACTGCTTATACCTACGGTTCATAATTTTGAATAAACTCCAATGTTCTGGTTTTTATTGTATTATTTTCATCGAAAATACCCCATTGTATCATTCATTTATCAAGAAAGTAATTATTGACATTATCATAGAAAAAGACGTTATGTTAGGTACATCCTGGCATTTCTGGAAGACTAAATTTTGAACAGTTCAAATTTTAGTATTTGTGTTATCGTGTTACGTCATGTGTAGAAAGATTCTACAGAGAACGACAGTGCCAGGAAACCAATATATTATTAGTTATTTTATAAACACATTAAAATAAATTTTTTTAATTAAGACCTGAAATATGGCCTGGACCTAGGGTCATCATCAGATGAAAAGGAAAATCTAATGTTCATCTTAACAATATATATATATATATATATATATATATATATATATATATATATATATATATATATATATATATATATATATATATATTATATTATATATACGTATATTATATATATATATATACAATATATATATATATATATATATATATATATATATATATATGTGTGTGTGTGTGTGTGTGTGTGTAGTTACTGTTATATGTTTTTTTCTATGCATATGTGCATGAGGTCGTTTGTACAGAGTCATGAGGTCTGTTTAAAAGTACAGAAAATCCGGTCTTCTATCTAATCATTGTCCTAACATAATAAGCATCTATCTATCTATTTAATTAGTTCATTATCTATCTATCTATCTATCTATCTTATTCAAAATCTATCTATCTATCTATCTTTCATTCATTCATTCTATCTATCTATCTATCTATCTATCTATCTATCTATCTATCTATTATTCTTCATTATCTATCTATCTATCTCTCATTTGGTTCATGTTCATTATCTATATTCTATCTCTATCTTCTATCTATCTTTCATTCAGTTCATTATCTATCTATCTATTTATCTATCTTCATTATCTATCTATCTCTCATTTGGTTCATTATCTATCTTTCATTCAGTTCATTATCTATCTATCTATCTATCTATCTATCTATCTATCTATCTTTCATTCAGTTCATTATCTATCTATCTATCTATCTATTATTCAATTCATTATCTATCTATTTATCTTGCTATCTCTCATTTGGTTCATTATCTATCTTTCATTCAGTATATCTATCTATCTATCTATCTATCTTCTATCTATCTTTCATTCAGTTCATTATCTCTATCTATCTATCTATTATTCAATTCATTATCTATCTATTTATCTTGCTATCTCTCATTTGGTTCTTCTATCTTTCATTCAGATTATCTAATATGTATCTATCTATCTTTCATTCAGTTCATTATCTATCTATCTTTTTATCTATCTATCTATCTATCTATATTATTCATACTATCTATTTATCTTGCTATCTCTCATTTGGTTCAAATGCATTATCTATCTATCTATAATCGCTATCTATCTATCTATCTATAACGACGTTCATTATCTATCTATCTATGATTAATTCAATTCATTATCTATCTATTTATCTTGACTCTTTTGAAGATTATCTATCTATCTATCTATCTCTCTATCTTTCATTCAGTTCATTATCTATCTATCTATCTATCTATCTATCTATCTATCTATCTATCTATCGATTATTCAATTCATTATCTATCTATTTATCTTGCTATCTCTCATTTGGTTCAAAATTCAGTTCAATCTATCTATCTATCTATCTATCTATCTATTATTCAATTCATTATCTATCTATTTATCTTGCTATCTCTCATTTGGTTCATTATCTATCTTTCATTCAGTTCATTATCTATCTATCTATCTATCTATCTATCTTTCATTCAGTTCATTATCTATCTATCTATCTATCTATCTTTCATTCAGTTCATTATCTATATCTATCTATCTATCTATCTAATCGAATCTATTATTCAATTCATTATCTGAATTCATTTGGTTCATTATCTATCTTTCATTCAGTTCATTATCTATCTATCATCTAGACTATTTATCTATTTATCTTGTAAATTAAAACGTATCAATTCATTCGTTCATTATCTATCTATCAATCTATCTATCTCTCTATCTATCTATTGATCTATCTATTTAGAATTTTCAGTTCCAAATTTCTATCTATCTATCTATCTATCTACTATCAATTCAGTTTCATTATCTATCTATCTATCTAAAATCTATTTATCTTGCTAATTCTAATATGAATATGTGTTTTCCTTTTTTTTCTGTATCCTTGGCTATACATTGATACATTACGTAAGAAATGCTCAATGGATAATCGCTCATAACGACGTTATCTCGACTGTGATTAACTAATCCGGGAAGACCTTTTGAAGAATAATCTTTGTAGATTAGCATTCATAAAACTTCCCTAGATTTTATTGATTTTATCATTTGAAGTGGAAACGTGTAAAATATAATTCTCCGAATCCTTTCAGGATTCGATTCGAGCTAGTCTATTAAATTAAAAACATTCTGCCAGAGCTAGTTACAAGTTGATTCAAGAATTTTTCAAATTTATAAAAATTTTATCTTTTTTTGAGTTAAAAAATGGTTTAATTGGTGATAAAATAATGCAATTAAACTTAGGTAACTTTTTTTTAAGGTTTAATCTCAAAATGTTATACCTTCAAAATAATGTTATACCATAATTACACAATAATTATGTTTTACGGTATGTGTATATTCAATAAGCTGCTATTATGTGTCATTATTATGCGTAATTGCTATCATGAAATTGCGCAGATGACTTCCATACTATAATTAATTTCTGAATGACCACCTGAGTCAAATGGTGCATCGGTCAGTGTTTACACTTTGTGTATCAGCAGTTGGACGTGATGTGCGCTGTAGTGTTAATAGGGTAATGAATTTTATTGTGATTTGATTATTTTTATATTTATTTGTTAATTAAGACACATATATTTACCAAATACAAATCTTAGTGGGATATATTTTGGGGCAGCCTCTTGGAGGTAAGGTAAGTGGTGTACTGTAGCTGTTAGGAGTGTTGTCACACTTGTTTACAACTCGGTGGTAAAAGTTTATATTTTATACCCGCTATATTTGCAGATATTTTGTGGGCTGGATATGCTGCATTTGTAATCTGGTTTTCGTCAAGTTTGAGTATACAGTAATGAAAACTGTATACTACCGATGTTTTCTTTTATCCCAATTCGTAATTGTAGACAATGCAATCAGAAATTTCATGACGATACACTAGTCAGTCAGTTATGTGCCATGCGTGATACACGCTTAGGCGATCATGTATCTTTCGATACATGACTGACGAGGCAGGTTTTTTCCGCAGTAGATTGCCATTTCTTTTTGCGGTAGACCAGTTGCCATCCAAAGCTATAGAATTCGGTCTGTCCTGCTATTTACCCATAGCTAGGGGGAGAAGAATAGGATTCATACCTATCCCAACGGTATTAGCACGTAAGTCCGTTATGTGCCATGCGTGATACACGCTTAGGCAATCATGTATCTTTCGATACATGACTGACGAGGAAGATTTTTTTCCGAAGTAGATTACCATTTCTTTTCGCGTTAGACCAGTTGCCATCCAAGGCTACAGAACCCGGTCTGTTCTGCTATTTACCCATAGCTGGCGACAGAAGAAGATTTATACCTTTTCCAAGGGTATTAGCATGTAAGTGAACGTAAATGATTCGACTGGAAGTCGAACTCGGCTCTCCGATTCCTCAATCCGACCCGCTATCCATTACTCAACAAGTAACGTTTCTAATAAAAATAAGGACAGTAATGGCTGTCAAAATGTTGCGAAAATTCAGTAAAGCGGAAAGCCAGATCGGAATAGAAGATAATAACAGTCCAGAGAAAAATATTATATCATTCAACAGATAGGACTGTCTATAGTACTACTAGATTGGCAGTTAGGTCTCATAGTTTTACTGTTGAAATTGCTAGATGTAACCATAAGTTCTATTTTAATAGATTCTTTTCTCGCACTTTTCAATTCCGGAACTCTTTTTTTTTTTTTTTTTTTGCTTTGCTATCATCTATGATCTTCAAAACTATAAATGCATCATCAATTGTCACCGTCTGTCTTCCTTAAATCTGTTCTTTTGTTGTCTTTTTCCTCACTAATGTCTTCTCATTCTCTTTCGCTCACAGTAACCCTTTGCACCTTAGTGGTAGTATCACCATCTTTGGTCTTCTTGAAGCCTGTTCTTTTATTGTCCTTTCTCCTCACTAAAGTCTTTTCATTCCCTTTCACTCCCAGTAAACCCTTTGCACCTTAGTGGTATTATCACCATCTTCTGTCTTCTTGAAACATGTTCTTTTATTGTCCTTTCTTCTCACTAATGTTTTCTCTTTCACTCCCAGTAACCCCCTTGGGTCTTAGTGGCATTAGCGTCATCTTCTGTCTACCTGAAACCTGTTCTTTTATTGTCCGTTTTTTACACTAGCGTCTTCTCACTTTATTCCACTCTGAGTAATCCCTTGTACTTTGGGTGTATGCTTTGGGCGTAAGTTTGGGGCGTGCTTTTGGGGCGAGTGTTCTCCGTGTGTATTTTGGATGTGTGATTTGGGTGTGTGTTTTAGGCGTAAGTTTGGGGCGTGCTTTTGGGGCGAGTGTTCTTTTGTTATTTTGGATGTGTGATTTGGGTGTGTGTTTTAGGCGTAAGTTTGGCGCGTCCTTTTGGGGAGTGTATTTTGGGTGTGAATTTTGGATGTCTGTATTGGGTGTGCGTTGTAGGGAGTGTTTTGGGAGTACATTTTATGTGTGCGTTTTGAGTGTGAGTTTTGTGGGTGTGTTTTGGGCGTGCTTTTTGTGTGTGTGTTTTAAATCAGTTTTAGGTACGTGCTTTAGGTGTGCATTTTGCGAGAGTGGTTTTGTGTGTACATTGTAGGTGTGCCTTCAAGGATGCGAGCTTTGGGTGTGTGCGCCTGTGTCTGTCTGTGATTGTCTGTGTCTCAAGATCTTTTGGCGTATGTTTGGATAGTGTCACTTCAGCGGAGAGAAAAAAGTGTCAAATTTACTGACGAAGAAATTTCTCAGTAGCCTTTCGCACAAGACGATTTGTTTGAAGTATCAAACGAAAAGAGAATCAAAATGAAAAAAATGCTGCAACGGACATATGCACAAACTATAAAACAGGTAGCCAAGAGGCGCGCATACAAATTGACTATATAGCACATAGGTCATGAAATAGATGGACACATCAGCATACAGGCACAAGCAAGCACATGGCGGTCACAATGTAGTACTACGCTTGGATATTAAAATTGCACAGTGATGGTAACAGCTAAAAAGCAGGAAGGAAGCTGTAGTAATTTTGCAAGTTTTCATTTTGGATGAGGATTACATTTAAGATTCATCATCAAGCTTATCATATAAATAGCATTTGTTTTTAAAAGTTTAATAATTTTAGGGAAAAATATATAACCAAACCAGATTATTTTACCTTAATTTGGCGCACAGAATGATGTACAAACCTAAACGTGTGCCAAAATTTAAAATAACTTATGTCCAATAAATACACATGGGAGCACAATCTTTTTTTATTAAGACTTCTCAATCTAGGCGGGTATCATTAATTTCAATGTTTAATAAAATTAGATATAAAAGGATAGTGACTTAAATATTTGTGCACACTAAAAATAAATAAATAAGTAATAATAATAATAATATCTATCTATCTATCTATTTGTATATATATATATATATATATATATATATATATATATATATATATATATATATATATATATATATATATATATGTTGAATTTAAAATTAGTAAGACTTCTCAATCCTTCTCCGGTTATTATTAATTTTACTATTTATGAAAATAAAAAAGAATAGCAACTCAAATATGTACTCACTAAAAATAATGTTTATAGTAATAATAATATTATATATATATATATATATATATATATATATATATATATATATTGGGATATTAATTATTTTAAAATTAGTAAGACTTCTCAATCTACACTGTTAATTTCACTGTTTATGAGAATTAAATAAACAGAAATAACAACCCAAACACGTTTACCCATTAAAATAACGTTTATAGTAAATAGAAATAATGTCCGATAAAATCCATTAATATATATATATATATATATATATATATATATATATATATATATATATATATATATATATATATTTATTATTATTATTATTATTATTATTTAAAATATCTTTTTCATCGCGACGCAGAAATTTCAATGTTTCGGAACTAAAATTATTGTTCCATTTTTCAAGCGATATTCAATAACTGCAGAAAATAGGGTTTATTTTTGTAAGTGAAGCAGTATTATATTGAAGAGTTTAAGTAGGAGGCGAAATAAATTTTCAAAATTATTTTTATAGGTGTTGTCTTATTTGACGAATCCAAAGACATTAATATTATATTGATATTACAATGTGATCGTTGGACTCTGCGGAATCTTCCGATCTTGTTGGATTGTTTATTTTATACACTCTTACTGCACATCATGAAATTAATATAGAAGATATTGGATTATATAGGGATGATGGCCATATGTTTGTGAAGACTTCAAATAACTCCAAAATTGACAAGGTTACAAAACTAATACATAGAGTTTAAGTGCCTAAATTTAAAAGTTACTATTAATACAAAATTAAAAAGTTAAACTTCCTCGATGTAACATTAGACTTAATAAATAATACATACCAACCATATAAGAAAGCAAATACCAAAACTTTATATATCCACCCGAAGTCAAATCACCCTCCATCTATAAAATAACACGTACCCTCATCCATAGAAAAACGAATTAGTATTAACTCTGCAAATGAAGATATATTTTATAAACATTGCAACTTTTATAATAAAGTTTTAAAAATCGTGGTTATAAATGCCCCGATATTTAATATAATAAAGATAATAAAAATAACCAGAAAAGAAATAAAAATAGAAAAATTATTTGGTACCATTTAAGCAAATAGTTAGTAGCAAGTTAAGGCAAAAGTTTTTTGCTTTGATTGAAAAATATTTTCCTCGTAATAATCCTCTTAACAAGATTTTCAATAAAAATACGTTAAAATTAATTTATAGTTGTACTGAAAATTTAGGAAAAATTATAAAAGAAACCTAATAATAAAATTTTAAATAAACACTTAAATCAAAATCATAACAATAGTGGTTCCAGAACGAAAATCAACAATATAAATAATAGATTATGTAACTGTAGAACTCCCATAAATTGTCCATTGCAAAATAAATGTCTTACAGAATCTATATTTTACCAATGTACTATTTCATCTATTGAAAATCCAAGAATTAAAAAAGATTATATTGGTAGCACAAAAAATAATTTTAAATTGAGATGGTACCAACATTTTTCTTCCTTCAACAACAATGGGTATCATAACCACAACATTCCTCTTTAAATATTTTTGGTATTTAAAAGAAACAAATGCTCCCCCACAGTAAAATGGAAATTAATAAAACAAATCGAGAATTTGTAGGTCAATAAATAAGTCATGTCCTGTATTAATGCATGAAAAGCTATATAATATTAAGTTTTTTAAAAATAAAGATTTATTAAATCAACGAAACGAACATTTTTGTATGCATTGTACCATAACATCAAAACATAATTAATAGGATTTTTCTTTAAAATAATCTTTGCATTATATAATATATCTAAAATAATATTTGTATTATAATAATATATCTATTATATAATAAAATGATGTAATCATACTAGAGGCCTCTTTAAGACAGTCCTAAAGTATAAAAAATGAAATAAAATTATAAAATAAAATGCAAAAATTAACCCATTGTTCGACACATATACCTCTCTGTGATATGATTATGTTCTTAACAGGAGGCAATGGTAACATATCGACTATATGACACTTCATCTAGACAAGCATGAATTACATACCTACACCTAAGTTCTAACCTACATTTTTTCACTTTTCAACTTAGTTCTTTCTTTGGATTCGTCAAATAAGACAACACCTATAAAAATAATTTTGAAAACTTATTCCCCCTCCTACTTAAACTCTTCAATATAATACTACTTCGCTTTCAAGAGTAAATTATTTTTTTCTGAAGTTATTGAATATCGCTTGAAAATGGAACAATGATTTTAGTTCTGAAACATTGAAATTTCTGTGTCGCGAGGAAAAATATTTTTACGTCTTATTACAATTCTAATATTCGATTTTTAAATAATAAACATTGCCGAGGAAATAATAAGAGTGTCAATGAAAAACCGTCCTTTTGACAGTTTGTCAATATTTTATTATATATATATATATATATATATATAATAAAATATTGACAATATTACACACAATAACACCCTCGAGCGCTTAGCGTTGGAGCGGATAGAATTGAGATCAACGTATTTTAGTGGATTCAGCAGTTTTCTCAGCTTGTCTGAATCGTCTTCAAGAAGCGAGAGCAAGATCTAAAAGGTCAGCTAATCTAATAGTGATCTCGTCCCACAATCCTTACTCTTGCTCCATATCCGGCCTCCTTTGTAAATCACTAGCGGGTCTTAAGTGCCACTTAAGATTATCACACAAAATTCCAGAACTGAATCAATTGGTTATGTTGTCAAATCCTCATGCGTCGAATCCGACGGGAGAGTCCATTATATGTGTATGCGTGTGGTTTTGTGTGTGCGTGTGTGCGTAACGTGAGAGAAAGGGAGAGAGAGAGAGAGAGAGAGAGAGAGAGAAGGCGATTGATGATTGTATATAAACATAACTATTGATATAGAGATATTATTGAGTAAATGGTGCAAGGTTTACTTCATTTCGTTGTGTAAACAATACTTAATCATTCAGTCGACGAGACACGATGATTGCTGTAAAGAGGGCGAAATATTATTCAATCCGATTGATAAAAACTAATTAAAGTTTAACAGACGTGGCAAGAACTGAAACAGAAAATTGTCACATTTGAAATACGTCTTTATGTGGTGCCATTCGATTAAATAAACATTAAACATTTAGTGTTGTGTCTTTAACCAAAAGCAAAACAAATCAGGCGAAAGATATAGAAGATCTTTCACTAATTCATTTTATACAACTGGAAGGCAATGGGCGTAAGGGATACTAGAATTGAAATGTATATTGCATAATAAGTGAATATGAGGTGAACAGGTATTGGACAATATAGATAGAAAAAAGGACATCGAATAATATACAAAAAGTAACAATTTTTTTGGGGTCACCAATTAAGGAGGGCAGGTACTAAAAGTGCTTGCTACAGATCGCAATAAATGTCAATAGGTGTTAGTTCACGATCTGGCGCAAACCAAAACAGGGACTAATGGACTATATATTTATAGTCCATTAATCCCTGTTTCATATATATATATATATATATATATATATATATATATATATATATATATAAAGCATTCAACCTCAAGCAAAGCGGGAAGCCACTAGCACGCAAGGGGTTACAGAGAGTTGGAACCAGATCAAAGAGGAGTGACAGAGGAAAGGATGAAGAGAAGGTTAGGGGATAGATCAGGGCATCTGGAGACGTCGATTGACGTTACATTTGAATAGTTGGAATAGCTATCAGGAAAATAAAAACTGGAGAGGGAGTTCCACAGGCGAGATGTGCGAGACATGAAGCTATTGGAGTAGAAGAGTCGGCTACATTTAACAGTTTCGACTCTGAAAGGGTGAGAGCGAGATGCCAGCCTAGTTAAATTCATGGAGTCTGGGAACCAGCAAAAGCAGCTCATCGGAACAGATACCGTGAAAGTATTTGTAAAAAGGACAGAGGGAGGCAACGGTATGTCTGTGAGAGAGCGGCTACAGACGTGATGCCAGATCAGGGCCAATTACATTGCATATCCGTCTTTGGATTTTATCAAGGACCTTGAGACAAATAGAAGAGGCTCCAGACCATATATGGCAGCAATACTCCATGCAATAAAAATACGAGGATTGAGTACAAATAAGGTTTAAGTAATAAAATTCAGCAGGATTCGTTAATAAAAAAAATGACAGTTTTCGAATCTTGAGGCGAAAGAATCTTTGGAAACATTAGGCGAACATGTCTTTCAAAAGTATTACGTGATTATAACTTTTCAAACATTACGCAACACAGTCAATACTTATCTATTTAAGTACCTCATAATATTCATACCTAATTATATATCTATCTTATTTATCATATCTATCTAGATTTCTATCTCATTCTATTCATATCTATCTATATCATTCTATTAAATTCAATCTCTCTCATTCTCCCCCTCTCTCTCTCTCTCTATATATATATATATATATATATATATTACAGACTTTCATTATCTATTACAGTCTTTCATATATCTATCTATCTATCTATCTATCTATCTATAACAGTCTTTATCTATCTATCTATCTATCTATCTATCTATCTATCTATCTATCTATCTATCTATAACAGTCTTTCATTTATCTATCTATCTATCTATCTATCTATCTATCACAGTCTTTTATCTATCTATCTATCTATCTATCTATCTCAGTATGTTCACTATCTATCTATCTATCTATCTACAAGATGAAAGAGAGAGAGAGAGAGAGAGAGAGAGAGAGAGAGAGACTGCATATTATAATTTTTTATATCTTTAGAAAAAAATTAAATTATAAATGAAACGAAGAAAACATAAATACATATTTCCGAAATTTATCTATCTACCTATCTATCTATATCTATATGTACACACAGACACACACACACACACACACATATATATATATATATATATATATATATATAACGGAAAAATTAATGCATACAAATAATAAAAGCAAACCAAAAATAGATGCTAAAACTGAAGTAGAAATAAAAGCTTCTAATTTGAGACAAATATGCACAAAATTAACGACCTTTCTGCGAATGTTGGTAATAACGTTCCATATTAAAATGTAATTATAAAGAAAGCAAAATAACATTTAAAAATGATATTAAAAAGAAAAAACATAATTTAAATAAATAAAAAGCAAGAAATGAAAATACCGTTCATAAAAGACAGAATGGCAGGGAAGAAATCGTAGAATTTTAGAAAATTTGCTATTTGTTGTCCGGAGAAAACGAAGCAGACATTTTTGTTCCATTTTTTTTGTTTGGTTTCGAATATTTATTTATTTATTTATTCTTTTAAAATTATTGGTCCATTGAAAAGAATCGTTGCTATTCACATTTTTAAAAAGATTTAGGTCATTTAAATACAGCAGTGAAAATAAATATCAAAATAAAATTGATTTTTGCCAACATTTCGAAAAGAATAGAAAAAACAAAATGCGTATAATTCAGACAGAGGTGTGCGTACAGCCGCTAACACTCACACACAGAAACATACACACACAGGTAAACACACATGCACACACATACGCACACACCTACACACATGTACACACTTACACCTACACACACACTTACAACAAACACGCACACACAGGTAAACTCGCATGCACACACATACGCACACACCTACACACATCTACATACTTACAACAAACACACACTTACAACAAACACACACACACTCATATATATATATATATATATATATATATATATATAATAGTAGCCTTTTTATGTCTATTTGTTATCGAAATCCTCTTAGGGTTTTGGCGATAGACCCCATCCCGTAACCTTATACATTCTGAAACTAAATTACCCAGGGTACTTGGATAAGTATATTTCAGTATTGATCAAAGGGGGTCTTTATGGTGCATACATCCCTTCCCTGTAATTTTCTTCCCTTTGATATAAATTAAATTTGAATTTGAACAAGGGAATGGCTCCTAGGGTACTTGGATTTATTTTGATTAAAAGGGGTTCCCGGGGTGTGGGGGAGGCACAAATCTCTCACTGAAAATTTTTTCTTTGATTTAAATTAAATTTAAATTTGAACAAAGGAATGGCTCCTATCCAAAATAAAGAAGGAGAAAGCCAGAAGATGGAGGTCACATCGGCAAGATCAAAATGAGACAATATGAAGTTGAAGAAGAAATTACCAATCAGTAAGTAGTGCATTAAAATACGCATTTGTTACGACAATTCAAGTGTCATATCGATGTTGAAATCTCATCAATTCATTCAATCAAGTATTGCATCAAATACATATCAAAGGGGTCAAATCAATTTTTTCTCTTTGATTTAAATTATATTTAAATTTGAACAAGAGGATGACTCCTATGAAAAATATTGAAAGATAAAGCCAGAAGATAGAGGTTACATCGGCAAGATCATTGAGTAATAGTGAAATATATATTTTTTCTCTACAAATTATAACAATGATTTGAAATCAATTAACATTTTCTTGGAAAGAATATACGTGACGCGCAACAACGCGAGGTTAATTCGGCTATAATATATATATATATATATATATATATATATATATATATATATATATATATATGAACAGACAAACGTCTCATCAAAAGACTAACAGAGGGATGAGGTGGTTCGTTAAAGCCAATTGTCCTTAGATTGAAGTGATTATTCTTTAGTTATAAAACCGCTATAGTAAGTACAGCTAGTTATGATCATACTATAAACATATATATGGCATAAATAAATATATACTTGATATATATATTTAGATATATTAATCAAAACAACAAAAATAATAGATTTCTCACAGCTACTTTCTCACGCACGCGCTAATGTGTCGTACTTTATATACTGTACACCTGTCTGTTTACAATTGAAGAGCCTGCAACTGCCGCCAAGCGGCCACTTTGGGAATTACATTATCGACTTATCGATGAATTGATTGAAAAAAAATTACAAGATTATAAAAAATATGTGAACACCTACAATCCAACGTTTATTATTTAACGTTTCATTTTTTTCTCATTTTATAAAGAAATATGAAAGTAAATTGTTTTTATTCAAAAATTTCTATGAACTACAGAATAAGACATGGTTTTGTTGAGTTTATTTTTGATGAAAAATGCTTCAGTATGTTTCTCTTTCCGGCTAGCCTCGCGTTTTCTCTGTCGCTAAATCTCTAAGCTGGTTTAACGTAGATATATTTGTAAGGGTAACTTCTGGTTGAAAGCGCAACCAAATTGAAGATGATCCTTGTTTCGGTCTTCGAAATTGAACATTGCTACTGTTGACCTTCAAGAGGGGCGAGATCACTAGCATTCCCCTCCTATCCCCATATTTGATTAATGGCTACTTTTATTTACACTCGTGATCTCGCGTGTGAGGAAAGATGAGGTCTTAAAGGAGGATGCAAAAAAAGTAGACTTAACACCAGGAAGAAACATCTGAATTTCTCGGACACGTAATGAGGAAGGAGCGCCTGGAGAATGTGATACTCACGTGTCGAAAAGAACGAAAAGAGAGACAAGGGAAAGCAACGGATGACATACCTGGCGGGCTTGAGCAAGTGGATGACAGAACGTTGTCTGGGGAAGGAAGCAAAAGGAAGGAACTCGTTGAGAGCTGCAAGGGATAGAAAGATGTGGAGAGCCGTCATCGCCCACGTCCTGAAAGGACATGGTACATAAAAAGACAGAAGATCTTTGCCTAATTTTCTGATTTTAGTGCTGTGGTTCTTAAACTGCTTTTTCCGATGCACCCATTTCATCATACGTTAGGTTTTCATTCCCCCTCTTTCCAAGAATATCCGACTCAAAAGGTGTATTCAAATTAATACACATCTTCATTTTTTTTCATATGGAATTACTATGTGACCAACACCAAAGTCCTTGAAAGAGCCTACAGTCAAACCATCGAATCGCTGATCAGAAAACATCGTCGTCTTCTGTTCAGGACATGTTCACGAATGGAAGAGTCAAGGTTTCCAAGTCAAGACTTATTCAGTGATTTCACTTCAGCAGAAAGACAACACAGTTTTCCATTTCGAAGATACAAGGACCAACTTAAAACAACACAGAAAGTCACAGCTTTTGAGCCTTAACCTTTTGAAACACTGGCGGTGTTCAATCACTACAGGGATAAAAAATTGAACCCACCAATAGAGAAAAGGGAGATATCAAACGACAAGAGAGAAGGGAACGACGAAATCAACCTCGTTCTTCACCATTATTACCATGCAGTCAATTCTATCGATTTGTCCAGACAAGAATTGGTCATCTTCAGTCATCAACGCCATCATCAGAAAGCAGTAATACCACGTTTTTTCCAATGCATCCTTTTCACTATAAGTCAGGATGTCATCCCCCATCTTTTCAAGATTGCCGACTCAAAAGGTGCATTCCAAATAATATGCATATATTAATAAAAAAATCTTCATTCCTTTCCATAATAAGTACATATACATTTACAAGGATTATTTTTGTCGTGGTAAAATAGAAAATCCAGCGTAACCTCTCAGTTGCGCGGACCGATGCACATCTGTGGCACAAAATGCCCAATGGTTGAAAACCATTTTTTCTAACGCAAATTGGATTTTATGATTTTAATAAAACCTGGTGCATTTTCTACCTTTCCGTAATTAGTGTAAACCAGAACTATATCTACTATTTTTGAGTCTAATTTAAACTGGACCTGTGTTTAAATTTGTTATTCCACTATAAAGCAGACCTGCGTCTAACATTTTTTTTATTGTGGTGTAAACAAAATTTCTATCTATCTATCTATCTATCTATCTATCTATCTATCTATCTATCTATCTATCTATCTATCTATCTCATTCTCTTCATATCTATCTATTTGAGTCTGGCCATTTCTTTCTCTCTCTCTCTCTGTGTCTCTCTCTCTCTGTCTATCTCTCTCTCACTATCTATATATGTATCTCATCCTCTTCATATCTATCTATCTATCTATCTGTCTATCTATCTCATCCTCTTGTCATCTATCTATCTATCTATCTATCTATCTATCTATCTATCTCTATCTCATTCTCTTCATATCTATCTATCTGAGTCTGGACATTTCTTTCTCTCTCTCTGTGTCTCTCTTTCTCTGTCTATCTCTCTCTCACTATCTATATATGTATCTCATCCTCTTCATATCTATCTATCTATCTATCTATCTATCTATCTATCTATCTGAGTCTGGCCATTTCTTTCTCTCTCTCTCTCTGTCTATCTCTCTCTCACTATCTATATATGTATCTCATCCTCTTGATATGTATGTTTGTATGTATGTATGTATGTATGTATGTATGTATGTATGTATGTATCTATCTATCTATCTATCTATCTCATCCTCTTTTTATCTATCTATCTATCTATCTGTCTGGCCATTTCTTTCTCTCTCTCTCTGTCTATCTCTCTCTCACTATCTATATAAGTATCTCATCCTCTTCATATGTATGTATGTATGTATGTATCTATCTATCTATCTATCAGTTATGATCTGTCTTTTAAGATTGCATTTAACATTAAATAACCCAATAATTTTTAACATGTTTTTAAATTAACTGCCCTATCATCTATCTGCATATCTAACTCTCTGTACTTAAGTATAACGTTTTCTCTTCATTTTTCTAATTAAAAATATCCCATCAATGGCATTATATTCACTCTTGACTAATCGATCCACGCAGCCTGTTTATCCTAACCAGCGTCTTCC